TCTTTAATCTGCTCTTTAGTGTAAAATGCTTGTCTGTCAGATAATGTTCTAAATCTGAGCATTCAAATTAAGACAAATTAGGAAGAAGGATTTGCCATCCATTTCAGCAACAGCAGGCCTTTGAAAACCCTATGTACAATAGAGCACACTTAGACTAGCAGATATGGTAAAAGAGGCCCTCAAGTATGGAGACACATAGAAGGAGGAACAGCTGTAAGCAAACACTAGTGATTGGAACATGGAATATAAGAAGCATGAATGTAGGAAATTTGATACTGTTAAGAAGGAAATGGAACGCATAAATATTGACATACTAGGTATTGGTGAAATGAGATGGACTGGCATGGGACATTTTGAGTCAGATAACCATATGATCTACTATGCTGGAGATGAAACGGTGGGGGGAAATGGACTTGTTTTCATAGTTAAAAAAGTCATTTCTAGACCTGTTTTGAAATATAATGCTGTGAGGGACAGGATAATATCCATACACATACAAGGAAGTCCAGTGAATACCACCATCATTCAAATATATGCACCAACAATCTGAACTAAAGAGGAAGAAATAGAAGATTTCTACCAATTTTTGCAGTCAGAGATTGATCAAAGATGCAATCAAGATGCATTAATTAATAATAGGTGACTGGAATGTAAAAATTGGGAACAGAGAAGAAGGATTAATAGTTGGAAAACATGGACTTGGTTACAGAAATGAAGCTGGAGATAGACTGACAGTATTTTGCACAATGAATGACATATTCATTGTAAATACATTTTATAAGAAACAAACACAGGCTATACACATGGATTTCATCTGATGGTATGCATAAGAATCAGATCAATTAAATCTGTGGAGAATCACAGAAGCTGAAAATCAGGAGGTGTGAAAACTAGGCCAGGTGCTGATTTTGGAAAAGACCATCAATTACTCATATGTAAGTTCAAATGAAAGCTAAAGGTTAAGTCATATCCACAGGAACAAAAATTTGACCTTGAGTCTATCCTACCTGAATTTCAAAACCATCTCAGGAACAGGTTTGAGGCCTTGAACTAATAAGTGAAGACCAGATGAGCTCTGGGAGGATATCAAGAGTATCATCCAGGAAGAATGTAAAAGGTCATTACAAAGACAGAGGAGGGGGAAAAAAGCCCAACAAAAATGTCAGAAGAATCTCTGAATATTGCACTAGAGTACCAGAAAGCCAAAGAAAAGGGGAGAATTCAAAATATTAAGGAGTTGAACAGAAGATTCCAAAGGGCAGCATGGGTAAGACAAAGAAAAAAGTATTATAATGAAATGTGTAAAGAGATGGGAGTCGGAAAATCAAAGGGACCAAATTCGCTCAGCACTTATGCTCAAGGAACTGAAGAGGAAACTCAAGCCTCAAGTTGCAATACTTAAGGATGCTTTGGGCAGAATAGTAAATGATCCAGGAAGCTTTAAAAGAAGATGGGAAGAGTATACAGAGTCATTGTACCAAAACGAATTGGTGGACACAGAAGAATTTCATGGAACAACTTATGATCAAGAGCCTGTACAAAGGAAGAAATTTAAGTTGCTGTATAAGTATTGGCAAAGGCCAAGGCCCAGGAACTGATTGACATATTGATTGACATATTTCCAAAATCAGACACTGCCATGGATGTGCCCACCAAATTGTGCCAAGAAATATCGAAGACAACCACCTGGACAACTGACTGGAAGAGATCTATATGTGTTCCCATTTCAAAGAAATGTGATCTTACAGAGTACAGAAATTATCGAATAGTATCATTGCTATCTATCACATGCAAGCAAGATTCTGCTGAAGATTACCCAAAAACAACTAGAACAGCACATCAACAGCGAACTGCCTGAAATTCAGGCTGGGTTTATAAGAGGCGGTGGTAGTAGGGATATTATAGCTAATGTCAGATGGATCTTGGCTGAAAGCAGAAAGTTCCAGAAGAATGTCTATCTGTGTTTCATTGACTATGCAAAGGCATTTGACTGTGTAAATAACAACAAACTGTGGCTGACTCTGAGAAGAAAGGGAATCCCAGAACATTTTATTGTACTTGTGTGAAACCTATACTTGCACCAGGAGACAGTTGTCAGAAGAGAGCAAGGAAACACTGCATGGTTCAAAACTGGGAAGGGTGTGCACCAGGGATGTGTCCTATCACTGTATCTTTTCAATCTGTATGTGAAACAGATTATCCGGGAGGCTGGACTCTATGACGAGAAATGTGGCATCAGCATTGGAGGTAGACTCATCAATAATCTGTGTTATGCAGATGACACAACCCTACTTGCTGAAACTGAGGAGGACCTGAAGCACTTGCTGCAGAGGGTCAAGGACTGTAGCCTTCAGTATGGATTGAAGCTCAACATGAAGAAAATAAAGATTCTCACCACTGGGCCGATTTGCAGCATCATGAAGAGATTGAGATTGTTAACAGCTTCAGTTTGCTCTGCTTTACAGTCAACACTCTTGGCACCAGCAGGCAGGAAATTAAAAGATTAATTGCATTAAGAAAAAGTGAATTACTGTCAGAGACCTCTCCATAGTACTGAAGAGTAACAATGCCAGTCTGGAGACTAAGGTGTGCCTGATCCAGGCCATGATCTTTGCAGTTACTTGCTATGCATCAGAAAGCTGGACAATGACTAGGCATGATATAAGGAGAATTGATGCCTTTGAGCTGTGGTGCTGGAGAAGAGTATTGAATATACCATTGACTGCTAGAAGAACAAATGCGTTCGTCCTGGAGAGGGTGAGGCCAAACTGCTCCTTGGAGGTAAGGATTCTGAGGCTTTGTCTGACATATGCTGAACATGTTGCAACGTGGGATCAGCCTTTGGAGAAGGACATCATGCTTGGGAATGCGGTTGCACAGCACAGGCGAGGAAAACCCTCAATGAGATGGATTGACTCAGTGACTGGGGTAATGGGGGTAGGTGTATAACAGACAGTAAGATTGGCACAGGATAGAGCATGGTTTACGGTTGTTGTACATAGGGTTGCTATGAGTCACAGGCTACTCGATGGCACATAACAACAAATCATAAGCAAAAACATCATATCTAATTGCTAAATGTTAGACCCTACTGAGAGAATTATAACTAACATATGACGGAGCAGAACTGCCTCTTAGGGATTATGAGGCTGTAATCTTCCTAGCAGATCAGCAGGTCCTTCATCCCATGGAGCTTCTCGTGAGTTAGAATCACTTACCTTTGTTTAGCATTTGTGCACTTAATTCATTTGCTACCTATACACCTTAACTGTTAAGAATATAAGGATTTAAACTAAACTGAGACATGTCATCACATGATAGTGAACTTGTGTATTTATCACATGTTACTTCTCAAAATAATGGAAACTGAGGAAACAGACTTTATGTTTTGTACATGGTTCTTTTGTATATAGCTATGTTTTATATATACATTAAAGAATGGATTAAGTACTTTCCAGTAGAATGCTACCCAATATTGCTATCTTGATATCTAGGTAAAATTTGTAGTGAAGTTGTTTTGTATATGACACAGTCAATACATCTCCTTATAGGATCAAGTAAAGATGTGACATAACATATATCAACAAAAATGTATAGTAAAAAAAAAAATATTCATATCTTTTGCTTTTATATAGACTTTTAATAGTGGGGAGGGGGGAACCCACACATGCAATAGTAACAACACAATCACATAATCCAGACAGCTCTGGGCTTCAGTTCCTCACTTTAGGGGTTGGCCTGTACACATCCATGACCACAGCATGGTCTCTTTCATATGGCTCAAGGGTCATCTGCTCCTGGGGCATCATTGTCTCCTGCTGCATCTTCTTTACTTCAGAAGCAAACACTGCCTCAGCAGAGTCTGTGGAGTCAGTGTAGCTGAGCTTAAAAGAAATCACAAAATGCCCTCAATTACAAAGGAAAGTGTAGGCATTCAGGGGCACAATCTGGGTCTCATAAAGCTGAGCCATGTCCACAAAGCTCACATCCACCACTGTGATAAGCATGTGGTATATGCGTGGGAGCCCAGCATCCTCGATGACAGAGACTATTCTGGTTCCCTTCTGGGCCAGGCTAATGGGGTCCCAGCTAGAGTGATGGGAGAACTCAACAGCATAGACCAGATCATCCTGGCCTACATTGTCAGCGATGTGGGAGACACTGGTGCCAGAGGAAGTTCCAAGGTAGAGGGCACCATGGCCCCTGGCTTGATGTGGATCTGGTCCATTCCACCGAGGACTGCTGCCGCCAGATTGGAGTGGAAACTGTTCTAGGCACAGTACTCAATTTTGTCATCTCCCTCCGAAATGGAGTCTCTCTTCTCGCCATAAACCAGTTCTCCAGGGACCTGATTCTTGGTGACCAGGGCACCTTCCTTTCCTCAGCAAATGAAGAGACCTTAGTGCTGGTGAGATTCCACCATTAGATTCTTCCCCCCTGAGTTTCCTCTTTTTCCTCTCCTGCCAAGATTCCGGCTGCCAGACTGGAGGCCTCCTCCTCCAGGTCCTCTTCCTCCTCCTCGACTCCGGCCCCAGAAGCTGCCGCCACCGCCTCCTCCTCCTCCTCCTCGATCTCGGCCACTGCGACGGCCACGGTCACCACCTTGGTCACCAAACCCTCCTTGGCCTCTCAATCTTCCCCCTTGGGGACTGAAACCTGGCCTCATGGTGAGTGCTGAGATGCATGTCTCCAAGTCTGCGGCAACTCCGACTCCACTATTCATATCTTTTAAACAGATCCTAAATTCACAAATTTCAGAAATTAAACATTTTTGAACTAGCAAGGATATTAGCAGGCTGAAATCTTTCATGTTTTCATATTATTTTTATACTTACCATGTGAATCAGCTATTAAAAGTAAAATCTCATTTTATTATAACTTTAAATACATTAGATTATTAAAAAGTAATTTTGAAATATTCCCAAACCAAATAATTATATAATAAATTATTCCCTTTTCTGGAGAAGCCACCTAATTTTGATAAAATGTTACAAATTTACCTTTCAGCTGTAGTAGATTCATCAGAAAATTCCATGTCTGCTGAACTTTTCCTACTATTATTAGACCTCCATGATGACGCCAAAGGAAGTTCTTCTGAAGACATAGGTCTTGGCCTTTGGCCAATTCCGGATGGCTGCTGTAAACCTGCAGACTGTTCTTCAGTGCTTAAAACAGCAATTATTGCTCTTATTGTAGCTTCATCAACTTGAGACCAAGGCTTAGATGGAGCTCTCATTCGACGCAAAAATAAGCTATGCCACTTCTGTCTGAGCTGCAGCAGTAAACTGGCTGCCTATAATAAACAGTTTCCTCAGTTCAAAATGATAAAAGCAAAATATACATTACACATGAAGACACTATTTGTTCATTAAGTTAAAGTTTGCAAGTATTTCCAGAGAATATGTCTTACTACTTTATTTTACTAATAAATTTTTTTGTTGAACAAAATATACTAACCATTAAAGGCATAAAACTAAATAAGCATTCAATGAGAGAGGCAGTGTTTAACAGTAGAAAAGTATGAGAAGGATAAATAAAACACATTTAATTCTAGGCATACTGTATTTATGTGTCCGAGGGGCAGCCAGATGATGGTGTCCACAAGGCAAGAGGATTCACAGGTCCACAGTTCAGAAGAAGGGTTTATACTGGAGACAAACACTTGGGAGTCATCCATTTATAAATGGTAACCAAATGTACACATAAATGAAGCTCAAGAGTGTTCAAAAAGAGAAGAGCAGGGAATATAGAGTACCGGGAAACATGGGCCATTTAAATCACAAAAATGCATACAGAAAAGTCAGTAAAAGGACCTATAAAAGAATGCTGTTGTGTGCCATCAAGTCAGAAATGACTCATAGCTGACCCTCCAGTGGATTTTCAGAGCCAGTAAATCACATGGGAGTAGACTGCCAATTCTTTTCCTGCAGAGCAATTTTTGGATTCAAACTGCTTGCATTTAGGATTGCAGCACAGGTTCTTAACCACCCGGCTGCTATAGCTCTCTCTAAAGAAATAGCTAGAGAAATGGAAGCAGAATCAAGAAACTTTAGTATTGGATAAATTTGTGGCAAAAAAACTGAGAAAAATGTAGGATTTCATGAATGACAGTAAGTGCCAAATACTAGATAAAGATCAGAGTTATCAAGAACAGCAGCTTCGTTTTGACAATATGGAGGACACTGTTGATCTGGACAAGTACAGTTTCAGTGAAGTAAACTGTCAACAGAAATGAAAGTGAGACTATGGTAGTCTGAAGTAACGAATAAGTCAATGGTAAAAAACCATAAACGTAGCAGGTACTAATGACAACTTGGCTGTAAAAAAAATTCAATTAAAAAAAGATATAGATTAATCTTTAAATGTTTAGATGAAATGAAGGGAAAGTTATGTCAAGAAAACTTTAAATTTGAAAGTTAATATATATCCATCTGAATACAGAAGTATATGAAGGGAGAATATAGAACATATTCATATTCTTGTGTATTTAATATTCAAGATTTTATTATACACATAAAAGTATCCAACTATTGTTGTTGTTATGTGCCATTGAGTTGCTTGTGACTCATAATTACCCTATGTACTTAGAACTCTCAAATATTGAGGCATAACTAGGTTTTTCAAATTATCCACTGGATAAACTCCAGAATATACAGAAAATACAACAGAAAATGTACAATGACTCTATGAAAACTAAAAAAATTAATTGTACTCTAATACAAAGGACTCAATATTGAAGAAAACTTTTTATCACATTGTATACCAATTCACATTAACTGAAAGAATTTATGATAATGCTACATAGCAACTTACCTCAGGCTCCAATCTGAAATTAAGCCACTCATCTAGCTTCAAAGTTGCCAAATTAGCAGTAGTTCTATCCTCCATTTCACTATCACTACTGTCATTAGGAATACCATCAGCTGTTAAAACACAAGTTGAAAGAAAAGAATTCCTACTTACACCATATTACATCATAACAGAAAAGCAAATAGGCAGGCATTAGTTGTACAGAAAGGAAAATAGCAAATACTTTATGCATGGTATTTTAAAGAAAATAAAAAGAAGGCTATTTTAGGATGACAAACTTTAAAAATTTAAAAGGATGTAAAAAAACATCAAAGAAGAACAAAGACTACCATTTTTTGCCTGGATTACATCTCAACATAAAAGATAAATTCTCACAACTGGACCAATATGCAAATAATCATAATGGAGAAAAGATTGAAGTTGTCAACAATTTAATTTTACTTGAATCCACAATCAATACTCATAATAGAAGCAGTCAAGAAATCAAAAGACTTGTTGCCCTGGGCTTTCAAATTACTTCTTCAAATTGCTAAAAAGCAAAGACATCAGTTTAAAGACTAAAGTATATCTGGCGCAAGCCAAGATATTTTCAGTTTCTTTAGATGCATGTGAATGTTGGACAATGAATAAAGAAGACCAAAACATTGACATCTTTGAGTTATGATGCAAGAGTACTGGATATACCATGGACTACCAAAAGAACAAATCTGTCTTGGAAGAAGTGTAGCCAGAAAGTTCCTTAGAGGCAAGGATGGTGAGACTTTCTTATTCTTAACATATCAAAGCGGACCCCCTCCTATATAATACTTTTTTTTTTCATTTCAAATTAGTTTGGTTTAGTAGGGATAAAAATCCTTTTGTTTCAAATAACGTTCATTTTATTTTATAATACACGACATATCATAATATAGAATATTTACCTCTAAAGGATGAAGGTTCCTGAAGAGCATTACTTGCCAACCTAGCTGGTCCACAGAACACCAATACAGTGACAGGTGTCACTGCTGAACAGCATCTAATATTAGCTATCCTATGGGCTCTGGTCATTTCATCATAAATAAGCCAATCTGTGGGCAGTGCCTGAATTGCTGCAGCTTGACCATTCGCTGGAGGAATCTATTAGAAATGTCAATTAAAAAATGGTTAACTCCATCATCTAAATTAAGAATACTCTTAAAATATAAAAAGTTAGTCAATAAAATAGATGATGTCTATTAATGCCCAGTAAAAATTAAAGTCATTGCTCATACAAACTTTAGAAAAGTCTTCATTATTTAACAAATACCTCTTTGCACTATGAAGACTCAATCAAAACTTTTCCTCAATAATTACACACACACTCATGTAAAATTTTTTGAGGAGGAAAGTATTTGGAGCATTTTTCATTGATCTTCATCCACCTCAATTAGATTAGTTTATTTGGGGCTCAAAAACATTTAAAACACTTTACCTTTTTATACTGAGGCTGACTGAGAACTGATGTGGGATGAAACCTTACTTTTTTCTCCTTTGACCCTGTCAATACTACATTCTCTCGATCCACATGGACTAAATTAGGATACATGCCTGCCACCAATGCAGCCTTAACAACAGCCCAGTTCTCAGAATTTGTGTTAACATCTCGAATGTCACCACCACCTCGTGCTCTAACAAAACCTAGAGGGGGAAAGAAAACGCCAATTTTTTCTATAGTACAAAAGAAGACTTTAAATTTACACATGCTTTTATGAAACATAAGTCAGATTATGTAATCAATGATATAGATTCTCCTAAGAATGTTTAACACGTAATACTAATATATTAAGAAACAGAACTTTTTCCACAGCTAGAACTAATGCTCTAAATCATTCTTTGGCCAATAAACAATACTTCGGTTATGAAAGACATTAATTCTGAACATGTAGACAAGTAAATTTGATTAGTATACTTTTGCTAGAATTTCAAAAGTCCCCATTCTTATTTCTGTATATTTATATATTTATATTTATAAATCTTCTGGTTTATTCCTTATAGCATTAAGTTAGTTCAGCAAATCTGTGAATCCAGGTTCTAAAATACTTTTAATCTACCTCTTTTATGTACTATGCCACAAAAAAGCAATTGAAAGACACGATTCTAAAACAAAACAAAAATCCTATCAACCCATTTTTTAAAAAAAGGAAACAAAAAATAAAGCAAAGCATATACCAAGCAACTGCTAAGTGTTTGTTTCAGAGATAAGCACTCATATTAAACTGATTCTTATCATTTTTATTTTATTTCACAGAGCTAACGAAATATCTATTTAAAATTATAAAAGTATATTAGTTCTTCAGATCTAAAGTTATCTTTGCCAAGAAATGAGTATTTTATAGCAACAGATGCTATTAATTTATTTTTCAACTCCAGTTTCTTCATCATCATCTTTTTATTAATAAACAGTAGATCAAATAAAAAATATTTTTAAAGGATTTAATGATATTTAATGATAACAAGATATACTTGATAATGTTATAAATTATGATGTTGTCACCTTGGGGGGAAATTTTACCTGATGCTCTAAGTTGACCAAGCAACTGGGTTCGCATTCCTATGATTATTTCCATAGTAGCTTGCGAAAGAAAATTCTTTTCACAAAAGGCTCTTTCCCACCCATCACTTCTGGCTTTCTGCCATGCCTATGGATATAGAATTATATGACAAGACACAGTTACCTGTCACTTCTTACTGAGGCAGCAAAGTAACTGAAAGCTACTACATTAACCACTCATAGTCAATTCTTATTCTAATTATTCCATAAGCTGTTAAGACTTTCTAAAAGTATATAAATTTACCATTAACATATACTCAAATGCTACAATAGCTACTAAGTTTTTAATTCCTATGAGAACTAAAGTATCAAGGAACCGAAATGGTCAGATACTTAAAATATTTACCTTTTAAAATGTTTCTTCTAATTGTTATTCATAAAAGTGTGGGAGGTTTTGAACTACAGCATCATAAAACCATTTCTAGCTAAAGAATCTTGGTCCTCATCGCTGGTCCTCTAAAAAATAGCCTATCAGCCTCTCAATCTAACTGCTAATCAAACTACCATTCTGTAATATAAAAGAGTTCTAAGAACCTGAGTTCTTTTCTTTGGCATATGACTTAAAATCAAAGCATCAATTTATTTATCCTCTCTGCTACTGAAGGAGCTAGAGAAAAGCAAAGCACAGATAAGCATTCTACTCTAAATATCCCACTAATTATTAACATTCAACTTATCTATAATGATGGAGTCCTGAGGGTGAAGTGATTAAAAAAATCTGGCCGCTAACCAAAAGGTCAGCAGTTCAAAATCACCAGCCACTCCTGGAGAAGACAGGGCAATCTACTTCTGTAAAGATATATAGTTTCAGAAATCCTAAGGGCAGATCAACTGTCCAGATGAGTCAGAATCAATACAGAGGCAGTGAGGCTCTGTAAGGTATGATTACTCAACATGTTCTGTAATTACCACTACCATCAAGTCAGAACTGACTCACAGCTGAGCCTCCAATGGGTTTTCAAGGCTAGAAACTGCATGGGAGGAGGTTACTCATTTTTCTTCTGCGGCGCCCCTGGAAGATTCAAACCACCAGAGGAATGAGCCCTTTGGGTTAGCAGTAAAACTCTTGTAGACTAGGTCACTAGAGCTTCCTTACCAAATACAGTAAACTTAATAACCATATCATTCATTTTTCAATAATGCTCACAAAAAGTTCACAATTTATTTTTAATTATGCATGTACTGGAATATTACTAGATGCTTGAAAAAGTATTTTCTGCAAAAATAAGGTGATTTTTTTTTTCAACAGAGATAAGTCAGGGAGCTCTGGTGACCTAGTAGTAAGAAGCTGTGCTGCAAGTCCAAAAGCATGCTGTTTGAATCCACCACCCGGGGCTCCACAGAAGAAGAATGGGTGATTTCCTCTCATGCAATTCACTCTCTCTAAAAACTCACCTGAAGGTCAGTTATGGGTCGTTTCTGACTCAACAGCACACCATCACTGCAACAAAACTCTCCTATGTCTGAATCTTTAAGTCATATTTAATTTCTCTGACTTGAAATCCTATTTCTCTTTTCTCTACCATTTATATCTTTCTTCAGTTTTTCGTAGGTGATTTTTGGATTTTTGCTTTATAAAATTAAGTTCTTTACAAATTCAAGAAAAATATACTCTTAAAACTTAATAGATAAGAGGGCATTCTGATGGCCTCATGGTAAGAAGCTGTACTGCTATCTCAAAAGCACACAAGTCAAATCCACCAACTGTTTCACAGAAAAAGGATGGGCAATCTCTTCCTATGCAATTTATTGCCTCTGAAAACCTACTAGAGGGTCAGCTATGAGTCAATTCTGAATTGACAGCACAAAAAAACAACAAATTCAAGCTAATGTTACTCCAATTTTCTTTTATATACTTTGAATAATATATAGCATTTTTGAAACTAAAATTTTAGAAGATTCCTTGCTTATAACATGATTTAAAGATAAAAACTTAGATACTAAAAACATAAATGTAAATAAACATATAGGCACATACCTGTAACAAAAATATTGAGAAAATTAAAAATTAAATGTGGCAATCTTGACATATTTAACAAACAGAAAGGAATTTTTCTGGATTATTCATAAAATATGACTTCATAATGAAAAAAATTATTAGATATATCTTTTTATTCAATTGATACACCTAAAATATGCTTAATCAACATTTTCAGAAATAAAATAACAATACCTGGAATGCCCTTAGAAGTGCCATATGATCACTGAAAGTTCCTGCAGTAAAACGCTTCCTACAAAGCATAGCTGCCCGTTTTTGAGAGGCCTGAGTTGGCAGAACAAATGGATCTCGATAGGCTAATGTGCAAGCAATAGTAAGGATGGGGTCCAGACACTTTAAAACAACAGCACATAAGACCATTTTACCAAGATGTGGTTCTACTGGCAAATCAGCCAAATGATATCCAAGTTCAGTGAGATCTTCCCATGCATCCATTGCATCTATGGTCTAAATAAAAGAAGAGATATTAAAATTTGACACACACAAAAACTATGATTAGCCAAACTACCTACAAAATTTACAAGATATATAAATATAAGGGATTTTGGCTATCACATCTCATAAAAAAATGTGGTATTTGTCTCAATTAAGTAGAACAATACCTCCTGTTATGGTACAACTACCATTTTCTGATTACTTGCTATGCCAGACAATGAGTAAGGTTTGACAGGAAAAGAATTGATACACCTGAGCTGTGGTGTTGGAGAAGAGCACTGAACATCCCATGGACAGCCACAGAACAAACAGATATGTCTTGGAGAGGGTACAGCCAGGGTGCTCTTTGGAGGCAAGATCGATAAGGCTTCACCTCACAAACTTTAGGCAAGCCGCCAGGAGGTGTTGTTTCTTAGAGAAGGACATGGATACTAGGAAGTGTGGAGGGTCATCAAGGGAGAGGAAGACCCTCAACCAGGTGGACTAACAAAGTGACTGTTGCAATGGGTTCTTGTGTGTCAGGAAATATGAGGATGGGACAGGATATAACAGAGTTCAGATCTTTAGTTCATAGGGCTGCACTCGTACTTAACTCAACAGCACCTAACAACCACCACCACCACCATTAGAGGATCATTATTCAAAGTGTATTATCATGTAAGATAATTTTTCACAATTATAAAATTGGTTAAGAAATATTCCCAGTTGGTTTAAAGAAATTTCAAGTAAAATAAAATCAGGCAAAATAAAGCTATTAACACACTAACCTTAAGCATCTGTACAGCATTTCTAACAATTAAAGCTGGTGGAGGTTCAGGGGCTTTCATAAGGAAATCAGCAATGGAACAATTTATTGGTGCTAACAGCTTAGTATGTAAACAAAGTTCCTGTAAAATAAAATCATTGTTTTAATTGAGAAACATATCTATTGACTCTCACTTTAAAATAAATCATGAGAATTTTATTTACCATGGACAAGTAGCTTTAACTAGATCAAACAATAGAGGAATAATGGCTTCACATTTTCCCCTAGATGTCAGAACCTTAATAAAGACCTTTATAATATCTTGTCATGATGACATTGCCAATGTCTCCTCAGAGTTCTTAGGCATAACAATCAGAATCACTGTCCAAATGATCAAGAATTTTGAATATACTACCAACAGAAGTAAGTAATCAACACCGTTGGTACCAGCAGTCTGAAAATCAACAGAAGTACTGCACTGGGAAAGTCTGTTATCAGGGATCTTTTCAAATCTTGGAAGACTAAGGTACATCTGATTCATGCATGCTCTTTTCAAACACTTGTAATTCTGAGAACTGGACAATGAATACAGATGAGAGAAACAGAATCAATTCCATTTAGCCATGGTGATGGAGAAGAATACTGACTTTCCCAAGAACTACCAAAAAACCAGATACATTCTGGAGAAAGTGCAATGAGTGTTTTATGGAGGCAAGGATGACAAAGTTTTCTATCACATACTTTAGGAATACTGCAAGGAAAGGCTATTCATTGGAAAAAGACATCATGCTAAGAAAGGGGAAGGGTCTGTGTAAGCGAGGAAGACCCTCAACAAGATGGACTGACAAAGTGACTGCAGCAATGGGCTCAAGTGTTCAGATGATGAAGGTGGCACAGGATAGAAAGGGTTCAGATCTGTTGTTCAATAGGTCACTGAGTCTCACTCAACTCAATGCCACTTAACAACAACTTGTAGTTGTTGTTGTTGTTGTTGTTGTTATGTGCCATCGAGTCGCCTGTGACTCACTGTAACCCCATGTACATTAACTCTGAAACCTGCTCTAACCTGAATCAATATCATGATCGCTAACAGACTTAATCCCATTGCTCCAGTCACTAAGTCAATCCATCACATCCTGGGTCTTTCTCTCTTGTGCTGCTCCTCCACCTTCCACCCTTCCAGGCATGATGTCACTCTCCAAGGAATAGTCCCTCTGGCCATGTGACCAAAGTAAGTGAGATGAAACCTCAAAATCTTTGCCTCCAGGGAGCAGCCTGGTTTCACCCTCTCCAGGACAGAACTGTTTGTTCTCCCGGCAGTCCACAGTATGTTCAAGACTCTTCTCCAGCACCACAATTCAAAGGCTTTGATCCATTTTTTATCATCCTGTTACTGTTCTGCTCTCTGATGCACAGCAAGTAATTGTGAAAACCATGGCCTGTATCACATCATACTCTCCAGACAGACATCATTTTTCTTCAGTACTCTAGAGAGGTCCCTGACAGCAGACTTTCCCTAATGCAATTCATCTTTGGATTTCCTCTCTGCCGGTGCCAAGTGTTGACTGTGGAACCATGATAGCTGAAGTTATCAATAATCTCAATCTCTTCTCCATCCATCATGAAACTGCAACTGGATCTTTGTATTCTTGATGTTGAGTTCCAATCCATATTGAAGATTATAGTCCTTGATCTTCTACAGCAAATGCCTCATATCCTCTTCAGTTTCACCAAGTAAGGTTGTGTTATCTGCATAATGCAGATGTTAATAAATCTTCCTCCAATCCTGATGGCACATTCCTCCTCATAAAGTCCAGCCACTCGAATGATCTATTCTGCTTATCACTAATATCACACACAGGCAAGATCCTACTGAAGAGTATCCAGAAACAACTGGATCAGTACCTCAGCAGAGAACTATCAGATGTGCAGGCTAGATTTAGCAGAGCATGGCACTAGGGACATCATAGCCAACATTAGATGGATCTTGACTGAAACAGTACCAGAGGAATGTCTGTCTTTCATTGACTATGCAAAGGCATTTGACTGTGTGGATCACAGCAAACTGTGGCTAAGTCTGAGAAGAAAAGGAATCCCAGAACCCATGACTGTGCTCATGCAATGCCTATTCTTGGACCAGGAAGCAGGGAAACATTGCATGGCTCAGGATCAGAAAAGGTGTGAGTCAGGGATCTATCCTATTTCCATATCTTTTAGTCTATACACAGAATTAACAATTGCAAAATATTTTCCCCAAAATTCTACAATCTTTCATCATTGTAACATATTTTCAGTGCTTATTAGGTGGCAAGGCAGTACACAACAAACACATTAGAGAAGAAAAGAGCAACTTATAAAATTTATACTGTAGTGTGAAAACCATACATAAAACAACTAGTTATATAATTGATTAATTATAATTGTGATAAGTTTTATGAAGGATGTAAGAAATTATGAGGTAAAACGAAAAATTTATCTGTGCTCAGGCAGGTGTAGGAGGGGAAAGCCACTGGAAATCAAAGATGTTCCCTCAGGAATTAGGTTAAACTGCTTTTGTTAGAAGAGGCCAGTCCTTGGAGAAAGACATCAAGCTTAGAAAGGCAGAGCAGCAGGTAAAAGAGGAAGATCCTCAACAAGATGGATTGACACAGTGACTGTAACAGTGGGCTCAAGTATATCAGAAATGATGAGGATGGCACAGAAAAGAGCAGGGTACAGATCTGCAGTTCACAGAGAAAATATGGGTATAGCAGACACAATTGTTCCAAACAACAACAAAGACAGAATAGGAATTAATTACAAAAGGACAAATGGAGGAGTGTAATTATGGGTAGAAGAGATAACACTTTGAAGGTACTGAGGTAGAAGGAAGCAATACATGGATTGAAAAATTAAACTGTCAGTGTGGAAAAGGGAAATAGAAAGGGAAAATACCAGAGATACAGGCAAAAGCAGGTAATTTAGGCTGTTCAGAATCTTGGATTTTATCCTCAATTGGAATTAAAAAAATAAAATCACACTTAAGTAGAGAAGAGGAAGCCATGTAGGTCAATTCAGTGTGCCTTTAAAAGTCAGAAGCCAGCATCTTGTTCAGCACAATTAATATACTTCTGAAAAATTTATAATAGAATCTGGCTCTTCAATGAAATTAGAAAAATTAAATGAAACAATGAATAGTGACCTCAATTCTAATTCATCAAGGTTGTCTTTTACACCTGAAACAAATTTTCGTACTATATTTTTACCTTAAGTAATGTGTTTCCTAATTCTTATGGGAACTGTATTATATGGGAGCTCTGGTGGCCAAGTGGCAAAAAGCTTCACTGCAATCCTGAAAGGACATGGTTTGAATCCACCAGCTGCTTCATGGGAAAAGGATGGGTAATCTCCTCCTCCCATGTGATTAACTACCTCTAAAAATCCTCTGTTAGAGGGAGGGTCTCAGCTATGGGTTAGTTCTGACACTACAGAAAACAATCCTAATTGATAATTCAAAAGATAAAACCATACAGTAGCCAGATTCCAGACATATAAAACACATTATTAAAACTACATCATAATTTAAACAAACTCAAATAATTCTTAAAAATTTTAAAAGTATATCTTTTCTTTTTTTTTTAAAAAGTATATCTTTTCTTGTATAGGAAAAAAATTTGTTAAATACACTATGCTTTATAATATTCATTTTGTTAAAATAATATATAAATTATTAAAATAACAATGTTTCAAGTATCCAATCAAATGAATTTAAATGATCTAACATTCTTCTCTCCCTGAACCCATGCAAATGCTTTAGATTTACCTGTAATGGCATTCTCAAAAGTTCTGGAGTCTGAAATTCCAGCATGTTCTGGAATCGAAGTCTACTAAACAAACGGAAACAGATTCCAGGTCTGCATCGGCCCGCCCTTAGAAAGAAAATGCAAAATTAAGAATAAAGACTATAATAATTAAATACATTGTAAAAAAACAATGTGATTTAAAGAGACAAAACAATAAGCTAGGGTCAGGACATTCAAGTTTGGATCCTTCTGATAGTCCTTCAGTATTAGAGTACTATGTCTGGGATTCCATAATCTCATTTATAAAGCAAGATTCATTAATGACACCTATTATACCCTCTCACACTATGATAAAAATCATAATAAAGTACAAAGATAATTTTAAATGTATAGCAACCATATGCACAATAGCTCTGAGCTCTGCTCAATCCTGAACCAATCTCACCATCACTGACACACCTACCCTCATTACCCCAATTATTGTGTCAATCCATCTCATCCAGGGCCTTCCCCTCCTGCACTGTCCCTCGACCCTTCATGTATATATTCTTCTCCAAAGACTGGTCCCTCCTGGCTACTTGTCCAAAGTATTTAAGACAGTCTCAAAATCCTTGCCTCCAAGGAGTGGCTTAGTTTTCACTCTCTCCAGGACAAACTTGTTAGTTCTCTTGGTAGTCTGTTATGTTTAAGACTCTTCTCTAGCACCACGGCTTAAGAGCATCAGTTCTTTTTCTATCATCCTTTTTCTCTGTTCAGCTCTCTGATGCACAGCAAGAAATTGCAAAGATCATGGCCTGGATCAGGTACATCTTAGTCTCTAAACCGACACTTGCTCTTCAGTACTCTGGAGAGGACCTTGACAGATTTTTCTTATGCAATTTGTCTTTTTATTTCCTGACTGCTGGTGCCAAGGGTGTTGATTGTGGATCCATCTTGACGGTTGTTTTTTTTTTTAATATAGTGTGAAGCATGGACCTTGATTCCATTTTCTGCAGATACCGAGTTTTGCTGTATCTCCAGTATGTACATTCTCTTTTTACTCTTTTGAAGAAGTCTTTCATTGCACAAAACGTTTCATTTTTTAGGAGATCCCAAATGTTTAGTTTATTGCTGATTGTGCACTTCCAGTTATATTTGAGAGTCCATTTATGGGAGATCAGGTGGAAAAGTCTATAGGGAGTTTTGCCACTAAGCAAAAGGCCAAATCTCTCTGGTAGTTCAAATATACCAGCAGTTACAAAAAAGAAAGACGGGCAATGTCCTCTTGTACCACATTATAACCTTTAAAAGCTACTGAAGGGTCAGCTATGGGTCAGTTTTGACTCAGTGGCAACGAGCTGTTTATTTATGGCATAGATTAGGGTTATTAAGTTTTTCCCTATTGTTTTTTGGGTATCTTTACAGTTTTAGGTTTTATGCCTAGGTTCTTGATTCATCTTGAAGGAGTTTTTTTAATATAGAGTGAGGTATGGACCGTCTTTTCATTTTCTGCAAATAGATACCCAGTTTTGTGATATCCTATGTTAAAGAGGCATTCTTTTCTCCACTGAACAGACTTTATCACTGTCAAAGATCATTGGTCTATGTTGTTGTTACGTGCCCTCAAGCTGCCTGTGACTCACAGCAACCCTACGTACAATAGCTCTAAAGTCTGCCCTGTCTCCTGAGCCAGTCTCACTGACTCCTACACACATGCCCCTATTACCTCAGTGACTGTGTTAGTCCATCCCATCCAGGGTCTTTCTCTCCAGTTCCATCCCTCCAACCTACTGAGCATGATGTCCTGCAAGGACCGGTTCCTCCCAGGTCACGTGCCCAAAATATGTGAGACAGAGCTTCAAAATCCTTGCCTCCAAGGAGAAACTTGGTTTCACCCTCTTCAAGACAGATGTTTGTTCTCTTGGCAGTCCATAGTATGTTCAATACTCTTTTCTCCAGCACCAAATCTCAAAGACATCGATTCTTCTATCATCTTTAGTCATTGTCAACCTCTCTGATGCATAGCAAGTAACTGTGAGGACCATGGGTGGACTAGATTAAGAGCACTTGGTCTCTAGACTGACATTGTTGCTTCTCAGTACTCTGGCGAGGTACCTAACAGCAGACTTCCTCAATGCAATTTGTCTTTGCATTTTCTGACTCCTAGTGCCAAGAGTTTTGATTATGAAGCCAAGCAAGCTGAAATGGCTAACAACCTTAATCTCTTCTCCAGCTGCCAATTGGCCCAGTGGTGAGAATCTTTGTCTACAGGTTGACAGATTTACTTCTGGGTTCTCAATTCTATTTCATTAGTCAAAGTAACTGTTGCTGTACCAGTACTTGGCTGTTCTGATTACTGTGACTATGCAGTAGGTTTTGAGATCAAGAAATATAAAGTCTTATTTTACTGTACTTCTTCAGCAGTGCTTTATTTATCTGAGATCTTTTCTATATAAAGTTGGTGGTTATATTTTCATTAAGAATAACAGGATCAGAATTGTGAGATTTCTGTCATCTATATATTTTCACTGACTTATTGCTGTTGTTGTTTGGTGACTTCAAGTCTACTTCAACTCAGAACATCCCTATGAAAAACAGATCTGAATTATGCCTTATCCTACATTATCTTCATGATCTCTACCAGTTTCAAGTCCTTTATTAATGTGTCAATTCATCTTGAGGTTTTTCCTCTATTTCACTGAACCTCTAACTTGCCAAAAATGATCTTTTTTTTTTCAAGGCCTGGCTTTTCCTGAAAACATGCCCAAAGTAAGTAAAACCAAGTTTCAATATCTAAAAGGCATCCTTGTTACACTTCATTCAAGACAGATTTGTTTGCTCTCTTTCCTATTTGTTGTCCAATTTTCAGATGCAGAGAAGCAAATAAAAGGACCATGGCTTGGATTAGGCCCACATTAGTCCTTAAACTCATACCTTTGCTCTTTAGCACATTGAAGAAGCCAATGGCAGATTTTCCCAATGCATTAAGCCTTTTGATTTTTTTTTTTTTTTTACTTATTGGTTTAGTGTTGAGTAGTTTTGTTCTCTTGATATGGAGATATAATACATACTGAGGGCTGTAATCTTTGATCTTCTGCAATAAATGTTTCAAGTCTTTTTCATTTTCTCTTTCTAAATATTATCAGACAACTCTGACTTAGACCAACCTCACGTAGAACAAAATTGTGTCCTATCCTTTATCATCTTCACTGTGTTGCTACATTTGAATGCACTGATGCAGTCACTATATCTATATCTATAGCCTATGTTAAGGTCTTTCTTTTTCACTGACCTTCCAGTTGATCAAATATGATATCCTTTTGTCAGTCCCTCTCTATATCATGTTCAAAATAAGCAAGACACAATCTTATCGTTGCTTGTCATGGGCATTCTATCTTATTTCTATCAGGACAATTTTGTTTTCTGACAGAAATTTTAGCTGGGTTCAGAAAAAGATGGGAAATGAAGGATCTCACTGGTGATGTCAGAACTTGGCTAAAAAAGTAGAGAATACCATAAAGATGTTTACTTCTGTTTAATGACCATGCAAAAGCTTTCATAATAAATTATGTGGATCATAAAAAATTGTGGGTAGTGTGGATCATAATAAATTATGGGTAGCATTAAGAAGAACAGAAATTTCAGAACATTTAATTGTACTCAATCAAGTAAAACCAAAGTGTGTTTAGATGGTGCCTAAAAATACAATGCCTGTGGTTATGGTCAATTCAGCCATTAAACTGGTTCTTAAACCTTTTTTTTAAATTATTTTATTTCATTATTTTTTGTGTGTACTGTCAAATCAGATCTGACTGGTACAGAAGGAGATTGTTCCTCTTTCTCCAGCAGAGCATCTGGTGGACTTGAACTGTGCATCTCTGAGATTGCACTTGCAGCTTCTTGCCACTAGACCACCAGAGCTCACCAATGCTTCTTAAACTCTTAAAGAATTCTTTCGCGGTACAGTTGCTTATTGAAAATAGACTGATTTACTGATTGACCCTTTCAAAGGTGTTGATTATGAATAAAAAAAAAGTAAATTCTTGATAACAAATCTTTTTTCTACTTATGCTGTTGCTTACTGGTACAAAGGTGAGGATTTTTATTTTGTTAAACTGGATTCTTTTTGTTCATTCAGAAAATAAACCCTTGTTTTATACAGCAAATGTTTACAATTTTGCTTTTCATTTGTGGCTTATGTCTTATAAACTTGAGTTATAATGGGCAAAAGATTTTTCATGTCATGAACCTAAATTTGCCTTTTTAAAATTACTAAAATTATTTGCTTTGAAAAAAACAACATAAAATTAGGCAAATATAAGAATTTTTAATATCTTATAGACAGTAGAGTGTAAATAAAAAGTAACACATAAGAAAATGTTATCATTTTGTGGGCAACTGAATAAAAGTACATTAAAATATCCATTACCTGCCTTTTCGTTGTATAGCACTGGCTTTGGAAATCCACACCATTTTTAACATTGTAACAATATTCAGTGCATCAAAGGACTTCTGTAATATTTAAGGAGTCTTTATGTTAAAAGTGCAAAGGGTACTTAACAGTAAATAGTTAAGAAATTTCAAAAACCCTATGTACAATAGAGCACACTTAGACTATCATTTGGACTAACAGACATGGCAATTGAAACTGAGATCTTAGAAATTGAAACACAGAGAAAGAGGAATAGCTGTAAGGAGACACTAGTAATTGGAACGTGGAATGTGAGAAGCATGAATGTAGGAAAATTGGACATTGTTAAGAAAGAAATGGAACGCATAAATATTGACACACTAGGTATTGGCGAAATGAGATGGCTTCGCATGGGACACTTTGAATCAGATGATCATATGATTTACTATGCCGGGGATGAAAAGATGAGGGAAAATGGGGTTGGTTTCATAATTTAAAAAGTCATTCAAGATCTATCCTGAAATACAAGCGACAGAATAATACCCATACGAATACAAGGAAGTCCAATGAATACCACTATCATTCAAATATATGCACCAACAACTAGCGCCAAAGAGGAGGAAGGAGAAGATTTCTACAAACTTTTGCAGTCAGAAATTGATCAAACATGCAATCAAGACGCATTGGTAATAATGGGCAACTGGAACACAAAGGTTGGGAACAGGGAAGAAGGATCAGTAGCTGGAAAACACAGGCTTGGTGAGAGAAATGAGGCTGGAGATAGAATGAGAGAGTTCTGCACATTCAATGATATATTCATTGCAAATACCTTTTATAAGAAACATAAACGCAGGCTATATATATGGATTTCACCTGAAGGTATGTATAGGAATCAAATCTATTACATTTGTGAAAAGACTCTCTGGAGAAGTTCAATTATCAGCAGTGAAAACCAGGCTGGGTGCTGACTGTGGGACAAACCACCAACTACTCATATGCAAATTCAAGCTGAAGTTGAGGAAAATTAAATCAAGTCCACAGGAACCAAAATGTGACCTTAAGTCTGTCCCACTTGAATTTCAAAACCTCGAACATTTTAAGAAATTTTATCAACATATTTTAACATGTTATGTTTCACTGAAAGCATCAATTGATTACATCATCAGAACAGAGTACTAATTTTAAAAATCCAGATTTTCCTGGTTATAAGCATTCCTTTAAAAAAACTCAGAAGCTACAAACTTCCTTAGCTATACATTGCCTTCTAAAGGTGACTGAGGACAAACAATTTTTTAAAAAAAAAAAAACAATTCTTAAGGTATCAAAATTAGAGTGAATTAATCTGCTTTAATCTGTGGGCCTGGTGAATAGAATATTATGCTACCATAACCCCACATTTATCGCTTCTTTGTTCACAACAGCAATGAGTTGGAAAAAACCAAAGTACATCAACAAACAAATGGCTAGAGAAGCTGTGGTATATTCACACAATGGAATATTACACTGCACTGAAAAACATGCAACAGTATTCAAAATGGGTGACCCTGAAGGACATTATGCTAAGTGAAATATCTCAGTCACAAAAGGACAAATACTGCATAGTGCCACTGCTGTAAAATAGGACTGACATGGGGGTTGGGAGAGGAGACTGAAAAAGATCGGATAAATTACTGCATTGAAACAGATGAGAGAGAGAAGTGTTTAAAAGGTATATATGACTAGGTATTATCGTCATGACATGAGTCTAGAATGAAGGCTGCATAGTGGAGTGGACTTGGGGGTAGGGATTATATAACAATGAAAGAATTTTTCTTTGACTTTTCAAAAAGAATGAACTGGAAGGGAGGGGTGGGCAGGGAGAAAAGTATAACAATGAATGAATGGAAATCCAAAACCTCTGTAAATTTTCATTAAAATTAGTAAAATAATAATAATAATAAAAGAAAACTACCTAAAAAGAGCAAAAAAAAAAAAAAAGAATGTTATGCTACCAAGTCAAAGGTGGGTGGTTTTAATCTGCGGCCCTCAGACCCTGTTTAATTATTTTTGGTCAAACATTCTTCTAAGCGGTATAGCACTAGTCTGTCCATTTGCTCTACAGAGGTAACTCGTGGTTGCTGTGATGCTAAACACTGTGATATTGATGTGTCAAATGTGATAATGATTACCCATGATGGACAATGTTTGGTGGACATCCCTGTTTAAAACAAGCTTGGAAGCAGGAATGGCATCCACTTCCAGCTTGTCTCTGGAAACTCTATGAATGTGGAGAAATGAGGAAAGTTATACAAGTGTCCAGGTCTTTTGTTCATAGTATCACTATGGTCTATGACTTGACGGCACCTAACAACAACAATCAATTTATCACTAAATTTATACCCTTTGGGAAATGTTGTTGTTGTTGTTATGTGCCGTCAGAAATAGGAGTGAGAATTTTAAACAAATTACAAATTAAAATACTTTCAAGGGAGCTTATCTGGAGAAGTAAGAATAAGGACAATTACTAAATGAATTTTATCTCAGAGTAAAAAATTCTTAAACCTCTCATTTTATTTGATAATAATCTACCAGTGAAGTTAGTCTTCATAAACTGCTACAAAGTAAACACGAAACACTACTACTTCTTACTTCTTTAAAGTGAAAGTAAACTTTCATTGTAAAGGAATATTTTTTAGAATGCATTCTCAACTAGAATATACTCTTTAAACATTAGTGCCTGGTTTTTCTTTCACAGCATTACAAATGATAAATTTTAAAGTATCCTAAGTACAAAAGTTTTTAGAAAAGATGCTGCTTGTTTAGTTTCTAATAAAATGTTACATTATCCAACTCTGTATGTAAAATAATTTTTTTACTTCAGCATCATGGCTTAATCACTATTTACCACCTAAACACACATCTAAATAAATTAACTTTTCAAATACTTACTCAAAATTTACTTCAGATATTGTTTAATATCAATTGCTGTGCTCCTTTAGGAAATAAAACCTATCTTATACTGCTAGCCAACTAGAGTATGTTTTATTATCTAAAAATTATTCTTAAAAGTTCCTAAAGGTATTCCTAAAATTATACTGAAAACATTAAAGCTCTTATCATTTTTTTACATTAAAAAGAATTCTTTATTTCCACTGTTATTGTTGTTGCTATTAAATTTTGTCAAGTTGAACACAACTGATAGTGACCCTATGAACAAATGACCTGAACCCTGTTTTATAACTATTGCAGTTTCTCTAAGTTCATAGAGTTTCCAAAGCCATGTTGTTTAGGAAGTGGATGCCACTCCTACTTCCAAGCCTATCTTAATCTGGGAGCTCCACAAAACACTGTCTCCTATGGGTAACCATTATGGCATTTGACACACTAGTAGAACAGCATTCAGTATCACAGCAACCCCAAGTTACCTCAGTACAGTGAATTCTGTACAGCTTAGTAGAATTTCCAAACACAATTTACACCAGGCCCAAGGGCCCAACTGACTTTTAAATACCCAGGCCAGCCCACTAGTCCCTGACTGTCTCTAAACAAGATGCTTCCAGTCCACAGCTAACTGCTCGTTAAATCCAGCAAATCCAATCGGCTCACACACAGCTGTGAATAAAATAAAAACAACAGTCCAAACCTGACCCTCAAACAACAAAAAATCCCATCTTTCAGATAATTTACTTTCTATAACATGGGAGAAGGATGTACAATCTTCTCCCACTACCTCTGAAAAGCCACTGGAGTGTCAACTATGGGTCAGTTCTGACTCTGGTACACAACACCATGACATGTATAAGGAACATTTGTTTCCTTGAAAAATTAACTGCTTCCATAACTTTCTTTCTCTTTCAGTGCAATGCTCTACTTGTGGGGCACTAGAATTGCTGAGCACTGTAGTGCTAAAAGAATTAATAGCCACCCTCTGCATATATCAGAGGTTGATGAACTTATTAATGTAAAGAGCTAGTGAGAAAACATTTCAAACTTTAGAGTTCTAAAGAGTCTCTGTAGTAAGTACTAAAATTTGCTATTATGGTATGGAATCAGCCATAAATAGGTAAAATAGTAGGTTTGCTGCCTACATTCCATTAAGTTTATTTTTAAAATCAAGTTTTCTGGCTGTAGTTTGCCAAATTACCATGATTTATATGTTTGTGCGCTTTCTTTCATAGTTTTTCTTTTGAAACAAATATCTTCTCAACTATTTTATGTTGTTATTGTTGCTGACTGCCTTCAAGTTGAGCACAACTCATAACGACCCTATGAATAAAAGGCCTGAAGCCCCTCTACAACTATTGACATTTATCAAAGTTCCTTTCTGGAGGCATGTTATTTAGGAGTGGATGCCACTCCTGCAGGAACTAAAAATGAAAAGGCACAGAGTCCAGACCTGAGTGTAGAAAGGTAAGACAAAAATTATGTAATCAAAATCCCTTACTATGTGTGTTTCAATATAACTAGCTATACTCTAACTTTTTGCCAAGAATTTAATGAACAGAAGCTAAGTTTTAGATATAATTTATTAATAAGCTCACTGCCGTCAAGTCCATTCCAACTCATCACAAGCAAACAAGACAGAGTAGAACTGCCCCATAGGAGTTCCAAGGATATAATCTCTTATGAAAGCAAATGTCCATATCTTTCTCTAATGTAATTTGCCAACTAAAACTAAATATATTCTATATACTGTTATTTAAGGTGGAACATTTCTTTTCATGAAATAAATGATTGCCACTATGTTAAATTCATCTAGATTGAAAAGATTTTCCATTAGAGTGAGTACTGTTTGGGAAAGCACCTGTTGAAATGGAATATATAAACTTTATTTTCATAAAAATACAATTTACCCAAACATACCTCCTTCACCTTACCAGAATCAATAACGAAAACAACATCATTGACAGTAATGCTGGTTTCAGCAATATTGGTGGAAAGGATCTGTAATAGGATGTTATTTTATAATTATTATAAAAATAAAACCAACAAAAATAAAAATAGAAAAATGAAGATTTTATGGCACTTACTATTTTTCGAACACCTGCAGGTGGATTTTTTAATACTTTCTTTTGATCAGATGTTTGCATATTTGAGTGAAGCATGAAGACTTGATATCTGTTGACAATATAGAGAAAAATATACTATAGTACTGGTCAGTTATTTAAAGCAAAAAAATATAAAGCTTTAGGTTTTACCTGTGCGCATTGTCAGCAAAACGCTTGTCATCAAACAGGATACGATCCCTCAATCCAACAATTTCATCATATCCAGGTAGGAAAATTAATATTGCACCTTAAAATAAAATTACTATTTAATCATAAATCTCATCTTGAAATCAGACCCAATCAACAGAATTTACTCTAAGAAACTATATCATGTGTTTTCAAGTACTCCTTTTTATTAGATTACATTTATGAGATTATTTAAATATTACTGTTAATGGAATTATATATTTATACATAAGAAATATTAATTTTTAAAGCAAAGTATACATTTTTGCTTCAGTTCTTAAAGATAATGCTTATTTACCAGCATCACAACTATGGCAGATATTGTACAGAAGATGCATGATCAAATCCAAATCCACTTTTTCATCATCAAAACTATGATGATATGCTTTCAGAAGCTCTCTGTCTTCTGTACTGAGGTCACCGCCATTTGTCTGAACCAGAGAACTTTCATCAAGATTTCCAAATTCCAATGAAGCACTAAAAAAAAAAATCAAATCAATTTTCATGAAAAAGAGTAATCCTTAAATTCACTGATTCCCATAACATCTTTCAATGTTCCAATATATCTTAAGGGTAAATAATAAAGTGGTAGCTATAATAAATATTTTTGTTTCAAGTATATTTTTCTAAGTATAATTTAGTAATACGAGTATTTTTTTAAAGGATCTGAATGAATCTCTTAAAAGATATGCAAATAGCCAATAAGCATGTGAAAAAACGCTCAGTATCATTGATGTAATGCGCTGTCGAGCCAGAAGTGACTCAGAGTTGGCCCGTCAGCAAGTTTTCAAAGCTGTAAATTGCATGGGAAGGGGTTGCCCATTTTTCTCCTCTGGATAAGCTGGTGGACTCAAACTGCAAGAGAGGAAACTCCTTTGGATTAGCAGAGCATCTCCTATAGACTAGGCCACCAGATCTCTTTTGAAAGATTTAGTATTCTATAAAAAAAAGAATGAAATACTGACATATACTATAATACAGAAGAATCATAATAACATTACAGTGAAAGTAGTCAAGATCAAAGACATATCACATGTGCCCTTTTGTATTAAATATCCAGAGTAAGTATATCTATAGATAAACAAAGGAAACCTGTGACTGTCTAAGTCTGGCAAGGTGGAGGGTAAATAGGAAGTGTTTGCTAAGGAAACAGGCTTTAAAAAAAATTACAGAAATAGTTTAAGATTGATTATGTTGATTATGGTGATGGCTGTTTTGTTCTAAGTTAATTATATGGACTATGGCATACCAATAAGACTGTTAAATTTACTTAACAAATTAAAAAAATTCTAATAGAATTTGAAATGTATTTTGTTAACAAAGTTTTTGGTCATATTTTCTTAACAAGGTGTTTTTGTTGTTATAAAACCACTAAAGAATATTGTTATATAATAAAAAATGAGCTTAAAACACACTAATAACATAAATTATTGAGATAAATGCTTCATTTCTTCACTACATATGTAAAAATAAGATCAAAAGAAAAAACATACTACTGTTATCATTAGTAATTAACAATAGAATTCTTAGAAAATTCATTTCAATCTAACCTCTCTTAAAGGGTTCACTAGAAAAATAACACACAATTGCTTTCTAGATAGGAAATATGAATCATATTCACTTTTGTAACAGTATTACTGGAATTTCAAGATCCATTTTGAACAATTTTATTTTCTTATGTTTAACAATAAGGAGGGTATTCTATCCTTCTTTAAACGTTTGTAGTTTATAAATCAATCTTCAATGAACCAACAATATAAAAACTTTAGTAAGTATTTGATATTTTATTGATATGTCATGATCGATCTACTGGAATGTTATTTTCATTGAGATTTAATTTTTAAGACTTACATACTGAAAACAGAAACTATCAATGTATTATAAAGTACATTATGTTTTTAAAACATTCTTGAAACATCTAAAGTCTGTAATAATCTATCTAATCTAAAATGTAAAAATCTCTATTTAAAAGATAACTAGATTCACAGTATTGCCTTTTGGCTTTGCTTTTAACCAAAGCAATATATGTGTACTGGAGAATAAAAGGCAAGAACTTGCTCAGAATTTCTTAAGCTGAGAAAAACAAATGTAATAATTTAAAAACAAATTTAAACCTCACGTAGTAATACTGAAAGATGCTATGGGCAATACATCGAATGACTCAGAAAGCATCAAAAGAAGATGGAGGGAATACATAGAATCACTGTACCAAAAAGAACTGATTGGCACTGAAAAATTTTAGGAAGTACCATATGAACAGGAGCCAAAGGTAATGAAGGAGAAAGGAGAAGTTGCTCTGAAGGCACTGGAAAAAAATTAAGACCTCAGGAATTGATGGGATACCAACCGCTTTGTTTCATTTAATAGATGCAGCCTTTAGTGTGCTCACCAGTCTAAGCTAGGAAATTTAGAGGACAGCTATCTGGTGACTGGATTGGAAGAGGTCCATATTTGTTCACATTCCCCAGAAAAGTGATCCAACAGTAAGTGGAAACTATGAAACAATATCATTATTATCACAAGCTAGCAAAATACTGCTGAAGATCATTCAAAACCAGCTAGAACAGTACATAAATAGGGAACTGCCAAAAATTCAAGCCAGATTTAGAAGAGGTTGTGGCACCAGGGATATCAATATTGATGTCCAAGGAATGCTAGATGAAAGTAGAGAATACAAAGTTGATTGGTGCTTAATTGACTAAAGGCATTTGGACTGTGTGAATAAGTTGAGGCTGACTTGAGAAGAACAGGAGTCTCAGAGGACATAACTGTGTTCATGCAAAATCTATACCTGGACCAGGAGGTTATCGTGGAAACAGGGCAGGGGAACACCGGTTTAAAATTAAGAAGGAAGTACATTAGTTTTGTATTCTCTCTCCATACCTCCTTAATCTGTATGCTGAGGCAAATTATTCAAGAAGCTAGACTCTTTGAAAAGGAACGTGGCATCACAATTGGAGGGAGACTCATCAAGAACCTGCATTACGCAGATGATACAACCTTGCCTGTTGAAAGTAATGAGGACCTGAAGAACTTGTTGCAAAAGATTAAGGGATGCAGCCTTCAGTATGGATTCCGTCTCAATGTAAAGAATACAAAGCTTCTTACCACCGGACCAGTAGGCAACACCATGATGGGTGGAGAAATGACTGAAATTGTCAACTACTTCATCTTACTTGGATCCACAATCAACACTCTCAGTACCAGGAGTCAGGAAATAAGGAGACACACTACACTGGGAAAGTCTGCAGTTAGGGATCTCTCCAAATTACTGAGGAGTAGTGATGTCAGTTTGAGGGTTAAGGTTCATCTAATTCAGATCACATGCTATGTATCTGAGAGCTAGACAATGAATAAGGATGACAGAAGAATTGATGCCTTTGAGTTGTGGTACTGGAGAAGAGCACCCTGGATGGTCAAAAGAACAGTTAGAATGCTCATTGGAGGCAAGAATGATAAGGCTTAGCCTCACCTACTTTGGGCATGTTTCTAGGATGGGCTATTCCTTGGAAAGGGACATAATGCTGGGAAGGATGGAAAGTTGGCAAAGAAGAAGACCCTCAGCCAGGTGGACTGACATGGTGACTGTCACAACTGGCTTCTGTGCATCAGGAAGTGTGGAGATGGTACAAGATAGGAAAGGGTTCAGATCTGCTGTTCATAGGGTCACCATTAGTCATATTCATATAAAAAACAACATATATGTGAATTATGTTATACAAATTATTTTATAAAATCCTAAGTCATATTAGTGAGAACAGTCTCTTTCAAACCTTTTACACATTTCTTTTGCTGTTTTATTGGCATATTTCTAACCAACATGTACATGTCACATGTTGTATTTACTGGCTTAACAATTTAGTCAATCAGCTGTGAACGTTCAATTAATGAAAAGTGATTTACCACCTTCATAAAATTCCCACCCACACCAATCTCTTTAATTTTGTTAAGTCTTTCTTTAGAAGATTGTTCATGTTTTTCTCATGGAATGCTTACTGAATATGAACCACAGAGCTTTAAATAAAGCTCATTAAAGACTTGATGCATTTTGTGTTGGCAGCATATCTCTATACCCTCTAGGCCATGAGAGCTCCCAACATGTAAATACTATTTGCCACAGAGTCAAATAGTGATTTACAATTTTATTTCCGTTCTACACTTTTCTATAATTTTCCATCTCATGTCTTATTCCTTCATTTTGAGAGGTTCTCTCTCAATCGAATCTTCCAGTCCTACTAGTTTTGCTTTTTATATGTTCTGCTTTTTAGATTTCTGCTACTATGATTTTCATTTCCAAGAGCTCTTTCTTGTTCATTCATTCAATATTCACTGGACATTGACTGTATTTAAGCACTGATCCTGAATAGAGTGTTTACCAATATCTACTTGAGTGAAGAGGGAGACAAATCAATAAACACAGTAAATTATACAATATATAGAAGAGACAGCAGAAATCTATGGAGTAAAAAGAACAGTAGAGGAGGTTAAAGGAGATCTACAGTTCAGGGAGGTAGATTGAAATCCTAAATAGGGCATCAAAAGATTAAATGGGAGCAAAAGATTGTATTCTGATCCTTATTTATAGCACATTTCTTTTTTTCATGAGTGTAAAATTTTCTACTATAGTATGGGTTTTGAAATTTTTTCTGGTCACAATTCTCAACTTTATTTCAGTTCTTGGTTTTGGTTGTTGTTGCTCTGTTCTATTTCATTTTTTAGTGTTTTTGCCCTCAACTGTACTGGGACCAAATTTCAGCCATTTGTTCATCAAGAGTTGTTGCTGTTGTTGTGTGCCAGAGTCCGAACCAACCCAGAGCTGAACCTCCTGCAGGTTTTCAGAGACAGTTAGTCACCTAGAAGACTCATCCTCCCGTGGAGAAGCTGGTGGCCTTGAACTGCATGCCTTCGGGGCTGACGCACAGCTTCTTGCCACTAGGTCACCCATCAATGTATGTCACAGTAGACTTACATTCCATAGGATTTTCAAGGCTATTATCTTTTGGAAGATCCCTAGGCCTGTCTTCTAAGGTACAGCTGGGTGAATAATTCAGCCTTGAAACCTGCAACAAGCTTTCAGCTAGTGACTGAGCACAAAATCATTTGCACAACTCAGGATTTTATCATAAAAAAGTAAAACACCAAAAACTTTCTTTCAACAGATAACTGTTGAGTTATCTAGTTTAAAAGACAGTAATTTCAGGGAAGAAACATAAAATGTTCCATATTTCTAATGTTTTCTCCAGGCTTATTCTACTTTATTCAGGAAAGAATGCTCAAGTTTTCTGTCAAGGAATATAAAATCCAAATAGAAAAAGCTAACAGCTGAGAAGCAAAGGCAAAGGATGGAATGACAACATTCATTTAGCAGACTCTCACTTAAAAATCTTTTTTGTTACTCCACACTTACTCTTCCCATTATGTTTGATGGTCATAAACCCAGAGTTCTATGGTTCCATTTTTTAACAATGCTAAATCTAAAGACTCTTCAGCTTGTTTTCATTCTTCACTAAATCTCTATTTCCTGTCAAAGTGATTAAAAGTAGTAAGGAACTGTTCTTAACAGAAAATATGATCCCAACACTGAGTTTTTTGGTTTGTTTGCTTTTTTACTCCTTTCATCCTTCACAAAGAGTTCAGTGAGACTCTCAGAGTTCCAAAGCCAAAATAAGTTCGTGTCTCATAAACACTCCCTTCTATAAGCATAAGGGGTACTGTTTCTTAGCTATGTTAAATCAATCACCGCTAACTCACAAACTATCTACTTTCTGCTCAGAAAAGCGAAAGGAATCTTGGCTCAAAGAAGGGAGTTCCAGAGGAATGTCTATCTGTGTTTCATTGATTATGCAAAGGTGTTTGTATGGATCACAACAAACTGTGGCTGACTCTGAGAAGAATGGGAATCCCAGAACAGCTGATCGTGCTAATGCAAAACCTCTACTTGGACTGGAGGCATTCATCAGAACAGAGCAAGGAAACACTGCATGGTTCAAAATTGGGAAGGGTATGCGCCAGGGATGTTTCCTATCTCCATACCTTTTCACCCTATAAGCAGAACAGATTATCCGGGACGCTGGGCTGTACAAGGAGGAATGTGGAATCAGGATTGGTGGAAGATTCATCAACAACCTACATTATGCAGATGACACAATCCTGCTTGCTGAAATGGAGGAGGACCTGAAGTGCTTACTGTAGGTGGTCAAGGACTGTAGCCTTCAATATGGATTGAAGCTCAGTATCAAGAAAACAAAGATTCTCACCACTGGGCCAATCAGCAGCATCAGTACGGATAGTGAAGAGAGTAAGACTGTTAACAGCTTTAGTTTGATTGGATCCACAGTCAACACTCTTGGCACCAACAGCCAGGAAATTAAAAGACATTTTGCAATGGGAAAGTCTGCTGTTAGGGACCACTCCAAAGTACTGAAGAACAATGGTGTCACTCTGGAGTATAAGGTGCACCTGATTCAGGGCATGATCTTTGCAATCACATGCTATGCCTAAGAGAGCTGGACCATGACTAGGAAGGAGAATTGATGCCTTTGAGTTGTGGTGTTGGAGAAGTGTATTGAATAGCTCATGGACTAGTAAAAAAAACAAACAGGTTCATTCTAGAGAGGGTTAAACCAGGCTGCTCCTTGCAGGCAAAGATTCTGAGGCTTCATCTGACATACTCTGGACATGTTGCAAGAAGAAACCAGTCCTTGGAGAAGGACGTCATGCTTGGGAGGGTGAAGGGACAGCGCGCGCAGGAGAGGAAGACCCTCTATGAGGTAGACTGATTCAGTGACTGGGGTAATCGGTATAGGTGTGTCAGAGACAGTGAGATTGGCACAGGATAGAGCAATGTTTAAGGCTGTTGTACACTATGGGGTCACTATCAGTCGCAGGCAACTCGACCACATATAACAACAACAACAACAACAACGGCAAAGGAGAAGACTGTCAAAAGCTGAACTGACAAAGTGACTGTAACAGTGGGCTCTAGCATGGCAAAGATGATGAAGCTGGCACAGAATAAGGCAGGGTTTAGATCTGATGTATTCACAGGGTCAAGTCATACTCAATTCAATGGCACCTATCAACAAAAAATAACATCTAAAAATTCACAAACATATCCCATATGTTATGTACCTCTTCATTCTTATTGTCAGTTTACACCTTTTATCATCCTTTATTATCAAGTTAGTAAGAGTAGAGAAAAATCCAGAGATAAATGCATACATATGTCTTATTTATGTTTAAATGGAAATCTGTCTTATGGTCTTTCAAAAGAATATAAAATAACTGTTAAAACACATTAAATGTGATCAACCATCTATATAGCAAATCTAATAGAAAAATTCATTCAAATTAAAAAACAACAATGAAGTCTCAGGATGATACACTATGAATAACTTACATTTGATACATTCTATAAGCACACTGGAATGGAGATAAAAGCCGTAATACAAAGTTTTTACCTGTAAGATTCTAGAAGATCAACAATTTCAGTTTGCCCAAAGTGTTTAGCCCAATCTAAGGCCATCCTACAAAAATTAAGAGAGTAAATTAATATTGCATAAGTAATATCATTAACATTCAAAATGAAACAAAAAATCCTCATTATCGTCAAGTCAGAACCGACTCACAGCTGACCCTCCAGTGGGTTTTGAGAGGCTGTAAGTTGCACAGGAGGAGAATGCTGATCTTTCTCCCACAGAGCTGCTGGTGGATTTGAACCGCCAGTGGGCATCACCATTAGGTTAGCAGCATAAGTCCCTACAAACAAGGCCACCAGAGTTCCTTTCTCAATAACAGGCACTCAAAATTATTCATGAAACCATTTAAATAGAAGTATATAAATAATCTTGAAACAATTAGTTTTAATATAAAAATAAACATACAAAATCAGAAAACATGTGAAGCTTTATAAATAGATACAAACCATAAATACAATTTAAAGAAATTTACCAGCCATTTGATGCTTTACTATGGACATTGGCTCCCATACTAATTAACTGTTCTACTTGACTTGTAAAACCTCGTCCTGCAGCAACCATCAGAGCTGTTGCACTGGTTTCACTGTGTCTGTAATCAACTAAAATAAAGAAAGAAAACCAGGACTGTTAAGTTTCAGAATTCTTTAGAATTGTTTCTATTAAACAACAATAAAAATTAATGACATTTCAGGAGAACTATCCTGTGATTTGTCCCTTCACACAATAAAATAACATTATTATATCATTTAAATAGCCTAGAGAACTCTATTCTTTATATGCCTTAGCATAAAAAAGGGAGATCTAGTGGTAAGTAATTATTATGCTGCCAATGCAAAGAAAAATGGTTCAAATCCACCAGCTGTTCTGCGGGACGAAGACGGCCCCCATATGATTTACTGCCTCTGAAAACTTGTGGAGGTTCAGCTATGAGTCAGTTCTGACCCGACAGTGCTCAACAAGAAGAAACCTTAAAAAAGTGTCCAAAATAGAGACTATGAATTGGAAAGCACAAAAGATATTTGTAAACCTTCTTCAAATTCACCAAGATAATGAAAAGAGAAAAAGAAAGAATCCAATTTACAGAATACTTAAATAATCTTCCTAAATCCACATGTTGTTTGCATTCATGGAAGAATGAAACACTACAGAAGTTTCCATCTATAACTAGTAATTAATGTTCAAAAGTTTAACTGCAAAAACTTTAAATACAAAGCTTAAGATGATTTTCTGTGGTTTTGTTTTGCCCTTTCCCTCCATCATTCCAAGCTATTTATCAAGATAGTTAATGTGAAAAATATTGGCAAAAACTGCTTCCCACAAAGTATCTTCATAAAACAAATAAACAAAAACAAAAGTTCTAGTCAAATGAGGTTCCATTTTTGGGTATACCTCTCAAATAATTAAATATATTGTAATTATTTAGCATTTTTGTTCCAACTCATAGAACCCAGAGCTGGTTCTAACTCACAACGATCCAACAGAGAACATAACAAAATTCTGCATGGTTCTGCATTCTTGCTATGTTTGGGTCCACTAATTGCAGCCATTGTGTTATTCCATCTGATAGAGGTTCTATCCTCTTTTTCACTGAGCCTCTCTCTACTTTACAAAGCATGATATACTTTTCCAGGGACTGGCCCCTGTTGATAACATATCCAAAGAATGAATGGTAAAGTCTTAGAATCCTCGCTTTTAAGCAACCTTCTGTCGGTATGTCTTCTAAGATCTTCTCTGGTCTTTATTTCTTCTCCTGCTTTCTTGTTCATGATACATACAACTGAAAAACCATGGCTTGGGGTTGACACACCTTAGTACTCAAAGTTGAGATCTTTGCTTTTTAATACGTTTAATTTGTTACAAGCTATACTCAAATGTCTTTGCATGGTCAATAAAACAAAGGCAAACATGCTACTAGTACTCTCTGTTTTCCATGTCCTTGGAATCTAACCAGCATGTCTGAAAGTTCCATGTCCATGTACTTGCTACAACCATTTTTTTCCTTATTATCTTCAGTAAGATTTCACATGTATATGATGTTACTACAATAAACTTCATTCTGTTGGATCACCTTTGCAACAGAAGATCATTTAATCATTTGGACACATAGCTATTGCCCAAATTTCTTGACATAGACAAGAGGTTGAGAGTGCTTCCAGCAATGTTATCCACTTATCGAAACTTGTAAAGGGATGTTAGATCAATTCCTGGAGCCTTGTTTTTGGCTAAGGCCTTGAACATACTTGGGAATTCTTCTTTCAATGCTATTAGTGTGTGATCAAATACTATCTCATGAAATGGTTAAGCAGTGAAAAAACAGTTTGGGTACAGTGATTATTTGTATTATTTCCATCTTCCTTGATATTTCCTGGATTGTTATCGTGCCCATTGTTGATGTGTACTGTTCAGTCAGAATCAACTGAAAGATGAGCCTCCAGTGGATTTTCAGAGGCAATAAAATGCACAGGAGGAGACTGCTCATCTTTCCCCTATGAAGCAGCTGGAGGATTTGAACTACCTGCTTTTCATTGGCAATGCAACTGTTTACCACTAAGCCACCAGAACTCCCTTTCCTTTAATACTGCAAATTAAAGTTTCAAAATTCCTAACACACAAAAGCCCACTGCCGCAGTCACCGTGTCAATCCACCTGGTTGAGAGTCTTTCTCTCATTCCACCTTTCCCAGCATCGTGTCCTCCAAGGAATAGAACCTCCTAGCAACATGTCCAAAGTATGTGAGGTGAATCCTCATCATTCTTGCCGCCAAACAGCACTTCAGCTGCATCCTCTCCAAGACCTATTTGTTCGTTCTCTTGGCCGTCCAAGGGATGTTCAGTACTCTTGTCCAACACCACCACTCAAAGGAGTCAATCAATTCTTCTGTCATTCTTATTCACTGTCCAGCTCTCAGATGCACAGCAAGTGATCAGAAAGACTACAGCTTGAATCAGGCGCACCTTAGTTCTCAAACAGACATCATTACTCCTCATTAATTTGAAATGGTCCCAAACTGCAGATTTTCTCAGTGCAATAAGTCTTTTTAATTCCTGACTGCTGGTACCAAGGGTGTTAACTGTGGATCTAAGCAAGATGACACTGCTGACAGTTTCAATCTCCTCTCCATCCATCATAACACTGCTTTCCTATTGATCCAATAAGAAGAATCTTTGTTTCCTTAACACTGAGATGCAATCTATTCCATAAGCTGCATTCCTTGGTCATTTGCAACAAGTGCGTCGTCTTCCTCACTTTCAGAAAGCAAGGTTGTGTCAACTGCATAATGCAGATTATTGATGAGTCTCCCTTCAATCCTGATGCCACATTCCTCTTCATAGTCAAGCTTCTTGGATAATTTGCTCAGCATACAGACGAAATACATATGGAGAGAGAATACAACCCTGACACAATCCCTTCTCTATTTTGAACCATGCAGTGTTACGTTGCTCTGTCTGTACAGTCTCCCGGTCCAAGTATACGTTCAGCATGAAACACAGTTACATGTTCTGGGATTTCCACTCTTCTCAATGTCAGCTACAACTTGTTATGATCCACATAGTCAAATGCCTTTGCAATGTCAATAAAGCACAAATAGACATTCTTCTGGTACTCCTTACTTTCAGCCAAGATCAATCTGACATCAGCAATACTATCTCTGGTGCCACAGGCTTTTCTAAGTCCTGCGAACTTCTGGCAGTTCACTATCTATGTACTATTCTAGCCATTTTTTAATGATCTTCAGCAGTATTTTGCTTGTATGTGATATTAATCATATTCTTTAATAGTTTCCACATTCTGTTGCATCACCTGTCTTGGGAATAGGAACATAAATGGACCTCTTCCAATTCGTTAACCAGTCAGCTGTCCTCCAAAGTTCTTGGCATAGACTGGTGAGTGCGTCCAAGGCTTCATTTGTTACTTTAAAAAAGTCAATTACTATCCCATTGTTACCCAGGGCCTTATTTTTTGCCAATCCCTCCAATGTAGCTTCCACTTCGTCCTTCATTACCATTGTCTACTGCTCATATGGTGTTTTCTGAAATTTTTCATTGTCAACAAGTTCTTTTTAGAACAGTGATTCTGTGTATTCCCTCCATCTTCTTTTGATGTTTTCTGGGTCATTAAATATATTGTCTATAGCATCTTTCAATATTGTGACACAAGGCTTAAATTTGGTTTTAAGTTTTCTCAGCTTGAGAAATGAAAAGAAAGTTCTTCCCTTTTAATTCTCTAATTCCAGCTCTCTGCACATTCCATTATAATACTTTGTCTTCCCAAGTTGCCTTTGAAGCCTTCTATTCAGCTCTTTAACTCTGGCATGTTTTCCTTTTGTTTAGGTTTCTTGACATTCCAGTGCGATTTTTAGAATCTTTTCTGACATCTATTTCAATATTTTCTTTCTCCTCTGTTAGTAAATTCAAATTATATTGGTCATTTTGGCTCAGACAATAATATGGTCTACTTTGCCAGAATGACAAATGGAAGAGGAAAGGCATTATATGATTTTGAACTTCCCAATGGAAACTTGGCTAATCTAGTCTGAGATTCTTTACTCTCAGGCACCATAAGAAATAATAAATGTTTCACAAGTTGTAAACTTTAAAAACCATTTGTTATGCTACAGTAGATAACAAAGCAGTAAAGATATGACAGAAGATACCTAGTCTTATTAAACCAGCTAATTACTTCCTGTTTTGGCAGACTCACAAAGAGAAAATTATGGTATAAATGAAGCCCATGATATCTTAGATCACACTAAATAGTTTTAACACAGATGTCAATTAAGGGTTGAGATTTTAAATAGAAATATAAACATACAACAAAAAAAATATTCACAGAGCTATGTAACATTTTAGGCTACTCCACATGGCTTACAATAGTGCAAATTAAAGTTCTGGGAAACCTCCAACAAAACTGTGAGGAAGAGGACCTAGAGTTCATAGGAGGTTCAATAATGTCAAAATAACAATCACTAAAAAATATGAATGAAGTGAAGCAAGGATAATACTTAAATACCTGAAGTATTTCTTACATATTTTTAAAATAATTTTAAGAAAGCAATAAATCTTAAAGTACAAATTTTAAAGCTTTCAGTCTGTTGTTGAATGCACATACAGATATTCTTCTGATATTCTCTGCTTTAAGCCATGATCCATCTGACATCAACTATAATATTCTTGGTGACATAGCCTCTTCTACACCTAGCTTTAACTTTTGGCAGTTCTCTATCAAAGTACTGTTCTAACTATTTTTGTATGATTTTCAACAATATTGTGTTTAGCTCATATGAGGAGAAATGTGGCATCAGGATTGGAAGAAGACTCATCTACAATCAGTGTTATTCAGATGACACAACCCTGCTTGCTGAAACTGAGGAGGACCTGAAGTGCTTGCTGAAGAAGGTCAAGGACTGCAGCCTTCAATATGGATTGAAGCTCAGTATCAAGAAAACGAAGATTCTCACCACTGGGCCAATTTGTAGCATCAGTATGGATGGTGAAGAGATTGAGATTGTTCACAGTTTTAGTGTACTTGACTCCACAATCTTGACACCAGCAGCCAGGAAATTAAAAGATGTATTGCACTGGGAAAGTTTGCTGTTAGAGACCTTGCAAAATACTGAAGAGCAACGATATCAGTCTAGAGACTAAGGTGTGCCCAATACAGGCCATGGTCTTTGAAATTACTTGCTATGCATCAGAGAGCTGGACAATGACTAGGGATGATAAAAGGAGAACTGAAGCTTTTTAGCTGTGGTGTTGGAGAAGAGTATTAAATATATCATGGATGGCTAGGAGAACAAACAGGTTCCTCCTAGAGAGGGTGAAACTATGCTGCTCCTTGGAGGCAAGGATTCTAAAGCTTCATTTGACATATTTTGGCCATTTTGTAAGGCGGGACCAGTCCTTGGAGAGGGATATCATACTTGGGAGGGTGGAAGAACAGTGCAGGAGAGGAAGACCTTCTATGAGACAGATTGATTCAGTGACTGCGGCAATGGGAGTAGGTGTGTCTGAGACAATGAGATTGGCATAGGACAGAGCAAGGTTTAGGGCTGTTGTAAATAGGGTCACTATGAGTTGCAGACAGCTCGATGGCACATAACAACAATAACAACATATGATAGTTATAGTCGGGGAAGTGAAATACGGTCAGATTTAGGATATTTTTTTAAAAAAACCAAAAGAATTTGTTAATAAACGAAATGTGGAATATGAGACTGAAGTCAAGGATCACTTCATATTTTGTTGTCTGAGCATTAGGTGAATAGTGATATTTACTGAAAAGGGAAGCACCAAGAGAAGAGCAGGGTGACAATGAGGAAAGTGTGAAAAAAGTAAAAAGTGTTTTGAGGGCACCAAGCTTTATTCACCTAACATGTACACAAATAGAGAAATCAAGTAGCTAGGTGTGTAGAGTCTGAGAAGTAAAGACTGAAAATGTATAATTAGGGGATATTTTAAATAGATAGTAAAGTCAAATCTGGATTAGGTCATCTAGAGAATAAGTGCAGAAGAAAAGAAGGTTTAAAGATTGAAGCCTGGACTGTCCCCAATTTAGAGAGTTTGGGTTTGTTTGTTGGGTTTTTTTTTTTTTAAAAAAAAAAAGGAATATTTTTGTTTGCTTCATACTAAGGAAACCAAAAAGCTACATACAGTGAGATTGGAAAAAAAAAAATCAGCAAAGTGCAAATATCAGAAGTTGATTATTTCAAGAACAAAGTGATCGAGTATACCAAATATTGCTGAAACACTTCGGCAAGGGAATAGAATAAACTACTTGATACCAAACTTCTTCTGACTTTGGGCAAATTTTCCAGAGGAACCAGTTCTTAAGAGAGAGACATCATTCAGAGAAAGGAAGAATGTCAAAAAGGAGAGGAAAACAATGAGATGGACTGATGAAGTGACTCTTGAGTATGATAGGGATCAAAAGGATAATGCAGCATAGAGCAAAGTTCAGATCTGTGGTTCAGATGGTGTCTCTGAGTCATAACTGATTCAATGGCATCTAGTAACAATGCTTGACATCTATATCCTTTACAGTACTATGAACTTTCATTTTGTCTTTTGCAGAAGAGCTTTCACCATCTCCAATTGTTCTGGATGAAAATCAACTAACAAAAATCTGGCTAACTCTCACTAGAGAAACTATATCAAAGAAGGTAAATTATGTCTATTTATTAGAACCTGAGCTCATGTAACTAAAATATGCTGAAATCTTCATTTATTAAATGAATGATCTCAATTATAAGTTACCTATTTTTTCCTTCCTTTTTTTGAAATAGTAAATCTTTTCAAGGATGCTTTGGGCAGAATATTAAATGATCCAGGAAGTATTAAAAGAAGATGGAAGGAATATACGGAGTCATTATATAGAAAGGAATTGGCAGATACAGAGGAATTTAAAGAAATAACATATGAACAAGAGCCTATGGTGATGAAGGAAGAAGT